ACAGTGTATCGCCTCGCCACGGACAGCGGTTTATTGAACGGAGCCGCAACGGACGGCGCATGGTCCGTGGCGGTTCCGCGTGTTTTTTGACCACCACGGACTTGCTACGTCAATGACGGTTTGACCACCACGGACATACTAGGTCTTTAATCCTTGTCATCCGAAAAAATCGGATAGCGCCGAGCGTATGGGCGTAAACACTGTTCATTTCCGCCCATAGGCATTTCGTAGTCTCTTCCACACACACAGACACATATCTCAAGATGGATTGAACACAAGCACACATGCACGCACGCACGCACACACACACACACACACACACATCAAGATGCATTGACCTAACTTTCATTTGAGCATAAATTAAAGGAAAACATACAGTTCAAGTCATGCAAGCAGCAAAAATTATATAACCTCAACGTTTCGCTTTGTTCCTTGTATGCGATCTGTCCACATATTACGAATTAATGCCCTTCGTCCATCAGCAACAGGATTTGGTGGTAGTGGTAGAGTACAATAATCTATAACCTGGCACATACTATCAAAGTCTTGAGTGTAATTATCACTAGATCATGTCATCAAGAACACTATGAACTCAATGCACACACTTCAATGATTAAAAGATGGCCAGATTACTAAAAACATGACCACCCAATGTAGCGAAAAATAGCAGAAATTGCACCATCAAAAAAGAAATGCGACCTCTTCTAGTTCCGATAGTTGTTGAACCCGGACCATATTGCTGTAAGCACGATCATAGCTCTCAAGAACCTAATAAATCAACATGATCGTGTCAGCAGTAATTGCCCTATATGACCGACACATTAAACAAACAAAGAACATCACAAATTCAAAGTTTATGTATGCAAGAGAATTTAACAAAAAGGATATCATTTATCACATTTCCAAGTACAATCCTTTAACGACTAGCAAACTCTCAATTAACAACCCAATCGGCAAACTTGAACAACTAATTGTCAATTTGGTAAAACACGAAAACAGTCAGATTTATTCTGGCCATCAATTGCAGTGCGAGAAACAAACATAAAAGAACAACCAAAAAGCACATCCAAGCCATAATTATATTCAAGAAGAAAGAGAAAAGTGGCACACGAATAACAAGAAGCACTCTTAGCCAGAATACCAGTACATGTCTCCTCCCCTTATTGTGCATATAAAACGAATTTCAATTAAAAAACAACAAAGGCACTGATTTCAAAGTATCTGAGGAATATACAAAAACCAAGTTTTTGTTTTGATATTGTTAACTGTTGTATTGAAATGGGAATAAGAGTACAGTGGTTCAGAGAGAGCACTCACATTTCGGGCCTCTCGGCAAACAATAATCTAACCTCAATCGAGTGAGCCTGTACAAATAATGAGAGGGACTTATAACATTGCCCGTTACAGTGATGTACAAAAAAGGCAAAAAAAGGGTGGTCCGTCAAAGATAAAAGTCCTGATTTGGAGGACCACAAAAACCCGGAATACAAAAAGAGAAGGCCGCGGTCTTGCAGCATGGGTCCCGAGTACTTCTAAGGATCCGCGACCTATGCGAGAGCTCCGTCCTTAGCCAACTCGTCAGCCAGGCCATTTGATTCCCTCCAAATACGTGTCCATGAAGGTGTGAAATCTCATCGTAAATAGAAGAAAGGTACCAAGGTGAGGTGGCGTGGTCAGCTGCCCAGGTAACAATATTACGGGCATCTCCTTCCACTAAAAGAGGTTGACCCCACTCGGGGTCTAACAGTTTGAGGCCCGTGAGGAGTGCCATGGACTCAGCAAGCTAGGAGTCGGTGTGACCAATGTACTTGGAGAAAGAGGCCGTGACCAATGCACTTGGAGAAAGAGGCCAGGATGTCCCCTTGGTGGTCTCTAAAAACCCCGCCAATACCTACCAGGCCAGGCTTCCCAAGGAAGCACCCATCGAAGTTGAACTTGATCAGACCTGTCGATGGAGAGGAACAACAGACAGCTCGTGCAGCCCAACGAGGTTGAACAAGGAGGACTTGTTCCCAATTAAGTTGGAAGGAAGAAGTTGAAATGCCTTTGAAGGCCTTGTGATTAGAGGCCCAAAAGATAACCAGGGTATGAATCTTGTGGAAGAGGGCTGAGACTTCGCTCTTGACTCCTCAGAAGATCCTGCAGTTCCTTTTCGTCCAAATTACCCAAATTGTAGCTGCTACAGATGCCTTCTATAGGAGCGTGCCCATTTTGTGCCAGGGGGGGTCCTCAACGAGTTTGAAGAGAGCTGGAATGGAGGCTGGCGTAACCCAGGACAAACCAAAGAGCCGCAGAAGTCTGCTCCACAGGTTAAGAGCTAAATTGCAGTGAATGAAAAGGTGGGGATTGTTCTCTTCTTCGAAGAGGCACATGACACAGCGGCTGGGGATAGGAACCCCCCTGCGTTGAAGGTGGTCCACAGTTATAGCTCTTTAGGAACCCGTAAGCCAATTGAAAGCTTGCACTTTCAGAGGTGCTATCGAGGACCAAACCTTGGAAACCCAGAGTTCGGGTAAGAGGGGGAAGATTGGGGGTTGCAAAAGTCTGTTGTAAAAGGATGCTATAGTAAAAGAGCCCGAGGGAGGAGTCCATATGATACTATCAGATCCAGAGAGGGCGAGAAACGTTTCATGCAAAAGGGATGAGAGAGAGATAAATTCAAGGAATTTAGCATCTGAGAGAGAGCGTCTAAAGGATGGGTTCCAAGCCCTGGTGCTGCCTACGACCGGGATCTATTCCGCAATCGAGGAGGAAGAGTTAGTAACTAGAGAAAACAGTATGGGGAACCTATCCCCGAGGGGAGTGTGTCCCAACCATAAATCAAAACAGAAGCGAACCCTAATGCCTTCCCTTGGATGAAACCGATTGTTTTGCTTGAATTTAGAAAGAACAAACAGGAAGGATTTCAAGGCTCCTGAAGTCCTGCTTGGTGTTCTGCCCTCCGGAAGCCAGGCATCGATGGGGATTTTGTATTTGCAACGGAGCACTTGGATCCAAAGCAGGTTGTTATTGTTCACCAGGCGCCACCACCGGTTTTCGAGCACAGCCGTATTTTGTTTTTTGAGGAACCTAATCCCTAGTCCTCCCAAGTGCTTGGGTTGGCAGACTTTATCCCAAGTAATGCAGTAAAAAAAATTTTATTCTGATTCCCCTGACCAAAGGAAATTCCTCATGAGTTGTTCCAAGCGATTGGCTACTGCTGCAGGCATATGGAAGAGTGACATGAGATAGACAGGTGTATTGGACAAGGTCGCCTTTATAAGGGTTTTTCTACCTGCAAAAGACAAGAACCTGCCTTTCCATCCTGCTAACCGACGGTCAACTTTGTCTATGACGTTAGACCATTGCCTCTTCTTAGGTTTCCAATGCCCAAAGGCATCCTGAGATAGCTAGTAGGAAGGCCTCCACTTTACACTTCCAATGTTCTAGTATCCGAAGGAGAGAATGCCACCCCTATCATAGAGAATTTCTCCATATTAACTTTGAAGCCAATGGCTTACTCAAAGCACCTGAGGAAGAGACGAAGGCACTCAATATCCTCTAGGGTGGCATCAATGAACACCAGAGTATCGTCTGCGTACTGCAGGTGGGATACCGTGGGGTCTTTGGTGCTACTTTTGAACCCAGTTAGAAACCCGAGAGGTACAATCGAGAGATCGATTGACTAAAATCTTTCGCTACCATAGCGAACAAGAATGGAAACAAAGGGTCTCCTTGCCTAAGACCCCTAGAGGAGGGAAAGAAAGCCTTGGGGGTTCCATTAATCAATACTGAGAACTATGGGTGAGAGTAGCAATCCTGCATCCAATTTCTCCAACGGTCCCCAAACCCCATCCAGGTCATAGTTTCAGCCAAGATCGACCAGTCTACATGGTCGTAGGCTTTTTCCCAATCTATCTTGAAAATCATACCCGGTTTTTTATCTAGGTGTCTAGAGTGTAAGCACTCGTGTGCCACAAGGACCCCATCCAAAATCTGCCTATCTTTGATGAAGGCACTTTGAGAGAGGGAGATTACGAAGGGAAGAACCTCTTTCAACCTCAAGGCCAACACTTTAGATAGAAACTTATAGGTTGAGTTGACCAAGCTAATGGGTCTAAAGTCCTTCAGTTCCTCAGCCCCTTCAACTTTAGGAACTAGGGCGATAAAAGTAGCATTCATTGCTTTGTCCAGGACGCCCCTGTGGTAGAATTCCTCAAAGAAACTAAGGAAATCTGGCCTAAAGGTTTCTCAAAACAGCTTGAAGGGAGCTACAGGAAAGCCATCCGAGCCTAGCACTTTATCTTTGCCCACGTCCGCAATGGCCTTCAAAATTTGCACTTCGAAGAATGGACATTCCAGCCACTAAGAGCAATTTTGAGGTACCGTCAAAAACTGTAAGTCCCCCATCCTAGGTCTGGGGTCCGACAAAGAAACATAGAGGTCTTGGTAAAAAGCGAGAATGGCTACTTCCACGTCAGAAGGTTGATCGGGGATGGAGTTGTCCACCTTGAGGGTGGAGATGGTATTATCCCGACTCCGGCAATTGGCAATACGATGGAAAAAAACGGGGTCGTGGTCTCTTAGGCGGACCCATTTGACCCTGAATCTCTGGGACCAATAAATTTCTTATTTCCTGAAAGTGGAGAAGTATTCCAATTTGTGTTGGGTTCTAAGCTTGTGTTCAGAGGTAAAGAGGGACAAGGATTCCTCAAGGCTATCTAACTCCTAGATGGAGGCTAGAAGAGAGTTTTTAAGATGGGAGAAATTTCATGGGATGCCTCTGCTCCACGCTTTAAGAGAGGCTTTGAGGCGTTAGATTTTCAACTTAAAAAATAAACCCTTCCCTACTCAAAACTAAAGGTGAGAACGACTCCCACCATAGGCCAATGAGAGAAGATAAGGAAGATTCTTCCAACCAAGTGAGTTCGAACAAGAAAGGTTTAGGGCCTCTCAATGTGGGATGGGTATCTACGAGGATGGGACAGTGGTCTGTGGTAGGTATGGGGAGGGCCAAGGCATTAGAGCCAGGGAAGACTTCATCCCAAGCCAGGGAGAGAAGGAACCTGTCGAGTTTGAATAGGGTAGGTTGAGAGCAGTGGTCCAACTAGGTATAAAGGTTGCCTTGAAGAGGGATATCCAGGAGTTCATTTCAAGAGATGAAGTCGGAAAAGTCCAACATTCCTTGCCCTGAAGAGGGATATCCAAGAGTTCATTTCGGGAGATAAAGTCGGAAAAGTCCAACATTCCTTGCGAGAAATTGGAGTTTGAGTTTCTCTAAAACGACCACCTAGTGAGATTGAAGTCCCCCATAAACACCAAGCACAGTGAGGGAGGGAGGCCACGAAGTCAAGCTTGTCCCACAGTGCAGGTCTGAGTGCCACTGAGATACGGCCGTAGACCGCAGTAAATTTCCGAGGCCATCCGAGGACCAAGAGAGAATGGCAGTAACTAAGAAATACTCTATGTGGGAGGACACTAGGGAATGCTTTGAGAGGTTCCAAATAACCTAGATCCCCCCAAAGGCACCAGAAGCAGCCTAGGAAAGCCACTGGCAGGGTCTCCTACCCCATAACTGACGCATGAGTTGGAGAGAGGGGTTTGGCAGTTTCGTTTCTGTTAAGGCTAGAATAGTAGGATTGTGCTTGGCACACATGCCCCGAGCTGCATTCTGTTTGAGTACTTGTCCCAAATCCCGGACGTTCCATGGGATGAACTTCATTAGGAACCAAGAAGGTTGGGAGTTACTATCAGCCTAGGAGACCTCCTAAGGTGGTGGTCAAGGAGGGGGGGCTGATCTGAGACTACTGAGGGTGGTTCAATGAGGACCCTATTGTCATAATTAATGTTGGAGTAGAGGTTTAGGACCTCCTTATGACCCTTGATCCTCACCTTGAGTCTGCTTTGAGCGTCTGCCTCGAAGAAGCGGTGAGAAGGTCTCTCGGGGCCTTCGTGAGAGAAGCCCATCACCCTGAGTATTTCCTTGACGTTACTTTGTCCTTGATCGATGTCATTAACGAAGCGGGAGTCTACTAAGGACGATGGTGTAGGGGATTAGGACCAAACAGCCGAAGAGGATGCCTAGGAAAGCCAGGGTTCAGCATTGGAAGGTTGAGGCAGATCAAAGGGTAGAGGGCAAGGGGGAGAGTTAGGGTTCCAGGGGTAGAAGAGGTTGCGGGAACCTCAGGAGCAGAAGGATTAGAGGGCACAGAGACAGGGGTGTTGGGAGAGGCCAGGGGCTCCAAAATAGGGGTGTTGGGAGAGGCCAGGGGCTCCAAAATAGGGGAAGAAGGAGAGAGAGGGTCCACAAGCACTGGGTGAAGCCGTATCGAGCATAGGGGATAGGGGCCAGAAGGTTGAGGGGAGAGGTAGTGGAACACTATTTCTGAAGAGGAGGCGAGCATGGGAGGATGGTACTCTGAAGGTGAGCATGTTAGGGTTCGATGGAACAAGGCCAGACGGGAAGGGGAGGAGGCGAGGATAAAGGGCGGCTGGAAATGGGAGGGGGTCGTGGTAAGGTAGGGCAGCAGGGACCTGGTAGGGGTACAGAGGAACATGGGTCGCAACTTCAAGAGCAGGGAGTGGACCGAGAGAAGCCGTAAGAGGCAGGGGATTAGGGAAGAGCTCAGTTCTAACCTGGCAAATGGGGGTTAGGATGGGAGCATAGTGGAGGTGGGGTAGAATGGAAGCCAAAACTTCGGGGTCAGGAGGGGTGGGTCAAGGGAGTGGACGACAAGGATTGGCAGCGAGGAAGCAGAGCCACGCCAAAGATGGAGGGGTGTCCAACGGAGGCCCAAAAGAAGAGGATTTGGTAGGTGCCGGGGGAAAGAGGGGGTTGGAGATCCCAAAGACAAAGTTGAACGAGGATGGTGGAGACACAGGGTGCTCGCCTGCTGAAGAAGGGGTCTCTAAGGGTGACAGATCAACCTGAGGAGAGGAATCACCTTGCCGGGGCTGGAGAGGTACAGACGCCCAGAGGAGATGTGGTGAAAGGGTTGGCCTAGGAGAGGAAAGAGAAATGTGGGGGAGGGGGGAGAGAGGTGATTTGTCAAAAGGTGGAAGAGCAAGGGTAGAGTGAGGGAGAGGTGCATGAGGAGAAAGGTGGGGGTGGGAGAGAGAAGGGAGGGAGCAGGGGGTAGGGTGGAAGGGGGGAGATCTCGAGGAGGGGGGGAGGAGTTGGTGGACAAGTGTCCCCAAAGGGGTTGAGGGTTAGGGCAAGAGACGGCGGCATGGGTACTGCTACCAAGGTGGGTAGGTGGGAAGTAATAGGTGTCACCAGAGAGGGGGTAGAGAGGGTCGACGTAGTAAGTGGGCCAAAGTCGGGCTCAAGGGCCGGGACACCTAAGGGCAAAGAGGAGGTAGCAGGTGGCGAGAGGGGAGGAGGGATTGGCTGGGGACCCGTCGTTCCGCATGAGGCAGGGGACAAGGTGGAAGAAGACGGAGAGACATGATAAGTAGGGCTGTTTGGAGATTCAACACTAACATTACAAAGACTCACTTGGTGAAATGCTTATTGTTTGAGCAGCGGTGCGAGAACTGTGCACCTACATAGCTCCTGGAAGAACAATATAGTTATCCAAGTTCAGGTAATTGATTTAAAGAAGCAATTGCCACATTTTTCCTATTTAATGCTAAGAATCTTTTAAAGAAAGCCCATGAAAATGACATGAGCAGATATCCTAGGGAACAAAATTTGTAATCTTTTACTTTTGTTAAGGACTATTCCTCCATGACTCTCATGCGAACCCAATCACCGCCAACTGCCTACTTGCTCCATCCTCCAGGTAGACTAGCAAATCCCGAACATGCATGTCGTTGCGCGGATATCTTTGACACATTCTCCTAGACTGACTTTCTTGTCCACATTCAGTTTAATATGAGACGATTGAACTGACAGTTTTATTTACTAACAGCACATTGGAAAAAACAGAATACAATGAGCTTCTTTTGATTATAAGAAATCCATGACATAGCAAGAGTTAGTGATGCTACCCCATAAGAAATAAATCTTACAAAATGACATGATCGAGCTGTTATTCATGAATGCTTGCGGCCACTTTCTAAATATCTTATTTTAACTACATAAGCAACAATAAAGCGAGTGAACTATTTGAAGAAAGGAAAAAGATACTATAACCATCCTATAGCTAAAGGGAACAGGGTTCCTTCTCATACATGAATGCAACGAGGCATGAATGATGAATGTACTAATTCTTAAGACAAAAAAGAAAGAGCTGATAACAATCAAGGATGAAAAGTACATTCTCAATTGCATCTTTCCCAGGTTGCTAAAGTCCAATTGGTTGAGATGGGAGCTATTTTACAAGGATATGGACCTATTTCGTCCAGTATTACTCCTCATACAGTGGTGTTTCAGACACAACTAGGATCTCCCAAGAAAGAGGTCGCCCCAGCTCCACACTCGTAGATTCAAAAACACCCAAAGGGACGAACTAAGGCTTGAGGAAGATAAGTGATGTTAATTATATCTTTGCCCTAAATGCTGCCGAATTGGTAGGAATGAACGTAAAGAAGAAAATCTACCATAGAATTTGGTATTCTATTGGACCAGAATTATTTGTCCATAAGAGGATTCAAAACATAATGAGGAAATGAGACAATTCATCACTAATATCCAAAAGTGTTCAATATTTAAATCGAAGGTTCATAATGCAAACGTATATCATCTTCTCAATAGTCAATTTCTTTTATTGAGAAAATTAGAAATCTATGTTCCTAAAGCAGTATCAAACATCTCAACAAAAACTTGCAACAAAGTGCCAAAAAAGGGGAACGGAAAAAGAGCACAGGTATGACAAGCATAGAATCTACGATTGGATCGAAAACAGCAGAGGCCTTGGGCAGTTTGGCAAAGAAAACAACCACTTGAATGAAGGGCGGAATGAAGACATATACAGATCAAATTGAATCAAACCCCTAGAACTCAAGCAGTGCAAGAATTTGCTCAACCATGACAATCCAACTCCATATTCATTCCCAACATGATTGAAGAGTTTGAACCCTTGCACACACCTAACAGGGAATCAATTCCCATTTACCAAAGGAGAAATAAAAGGAATGGTCCCCAATAGGAATTTTGTAAGGAAAACTATTTGGATTGAACTTTTAAAATGCAAACAATTTTCAAATGAACTTATCAAAATGGTTTTCTGAAAGTAATCCGAAGAGTGCACCCACACACATGCACACAAACACACATAACAAGGCCACCAATCTAAAGGCAAGAAGGCAGTCAAAATAACCCTGTATCTTGCTTTCTTTCTTTAATGCAAAGCCCAAGCTCTCTCCTCGAAGGGAAGGGCCAAATGCTTCAACTAATCCTTAAATCATTTCTGAAACATTAGCACTGAAATAGTAACATCTGCGGTCACCAACATAATCAGAAGTTCGATATCCACAGTAATAAAATGTCATTGAAATTGTATGTGATTTGTGTAAATCATAAAAGCATTCACATATAAGGGTGCATGTTGTGACTATATCAAACCAGTTCCATGCCTCGATATATAAAATGAATATTGCAAGAAAAATAACCTCCATAACAACCACAAGTAATCCACTGAAGCAGAAGAGGTAGCAATAACCACATTCTAAGAGGCAACACATTAAGAGCATTAGTTTCTGAAGTGGGAGGAGTAGCCCAGTCTAAACTGAGGTGCCACTAACTGTGGAGCAGGAAAAGAGAGAACGAGGAACATTGATGCAACATGTTCACTGGCATGACCAATGGAGATAAAAATAAAGCGTGCAAGAACAAACCTAGGTAGGTTTTCTAAGATACTTACCAGAGCTGCGAGCTCTGTTGCCAAACACTTCCTCGCTCTCTCAACATACTGCCGAGCTTCGTCATACTGGAACCAAAAAATGGTTAACATAAGAAATATGCTTATCTTAAACAAAATATGAAAGAAATGGAAGAGAAAGGAAGTTAACCTGGCCTCGACGAACATGTAAAACAGCTCGGAAAAAAGCACCATTGCTACTTCCATCACCACTTGTTGCAGTATTCCCTAAAATCCGTGGTTTTGTTTCATCACCATCATCTAATCGAGAAACATACTCTGCCATTTGATCCCACTCTCCCATGTTCCACGCAGCACTAGCAGCCTGCATACAGAATGTCAAGGGGTCCAAGGGAAACATAAATAATATAAACTGAAATCAGCATCAATATTCTCACACATAAAAGCATATCTCAAACCATTGGAGCCATTTCTAATCGGGCAGCTGGCTCAGCTGGGGTCCAGTACTCTCGGCAGAGGTTGCTAAGCTCTTCCCAACGGGCCAATGCAGCTAGGCACCGCATTCTCCCTGTGCAATACCAAGATCATAAGGAACAAATATTAAAATCCCCATGAAAACAATAAAAGGAAAGAAGCACCACACACACAAATATAT